CTTAATCCACTACACGAATTAAGAGAATCAACAACAACACTCACCAGGATGGATACCCAGCGCGACGCAGGTGTTGTCGAAGTCCTTCTGCAGTTGTTGTATGGCTAGGCTGAGCACAGGCTCTATCTGCTCTCTGGTCAGGTCACCGACGCATTCGCCAGCTTCCATGTCTTCCACGAAGCCAGTCCCAACGCTGCCCAGATCCACGGGTCTCAGATTGTACTTCCTTTGAAAGCTCGTATCCCTCAGAACCTCTCTGAGCAACTGGTGATCGCTCTTTTGCCCGTCCTTGAACAGCTCCTCCTCCTTCTGCAGAGGATTTCTGACCTCGTCCTGTATTCTCTCAAGTTTCAGAACATTTGTTCTCGCGGCGTCCGCGAAATCCTTTCGTGTGCCCTTGAACAACAAGTTCCTCAACGGTGAACTGTTCTCGAGTTCCACAGGATCCGGTGACGAGGAAGTGCTAGACGACGTGGACGACAACGACGTGGACGTGTTGCTGTTGTTGCTACTGCTGTTACTGTTGCTGTTACTTGTGGCGGTGGTGCTGTTGCTAGTGGTGGTGGTTGTGCTGCTGCTGTTGCTGTTGCTACAGCTGGATCGTGGCTCCTCTTTGAAGAGGATTTCCTTTAGCAACGGGTGCCCTTGCACTGCGGTATCCTCTTTCTTCGCGAAGAAGTCCGCGTCAAGGCTGTTGTAGATGTCCTCCTCTGTTCTGGGTGGCGTGCAAGGCACTGTACAGTCGGTCGAGTCCTCTCTGTAGCCCAGGCTCTCTGCTAAGAGTCTGAAAACCAGGGTTGCAGAGGGTACTCGTTATCGAAGGGCTTAGTATCGTGATCTTGTGATTCGTTGAATGTGGTTGAACGTCACGAGTACGGGTTTTAGTGCAACTTTGGTAACTCGAAATTCTGATTTTTTTGGGACTTTGCAAGTTTTTAGGAGACGTCGATAGAAGTATCGTGCAATTTTTCTTTTTGCTACTTTTTAGGTCTTCGGTGTGAAAATACACATTAACTGTTAACGTGTGTTTTCCTAGTTTTCTGTATATCTTGAGAACTATAGTAGATATGAAAGAAATGTTACATTTGATGAAATTTCGTGCTCCACAAAAGTGTGATGGAACTGTTAATTTTAAGTAATGATAAAATTTCAAAATCATAATGACAAAATCCCTTACTGATTAATGTGTTTCCCTATTTTCTTGTATATCTTGAGAACTATAGTAGATATGAAAGAAACGTTATAGTGACAATTTAACGATTATTTATGCTCCACAAAAGTGTGACGGAGCTGTTAATATTGAAGGTAATGTTAGAATTTCAATCTACATCTCAGGTCAAAAAACATAAAATGTAATTCGATAATTTTAACTGAAGATAATAGTTAATAGTTTAACTGAACATAAATAGTGATATATGTGTGAATGGAGCGTATTTGGACTGAAAGAAAAGCGTTTGGACTCGGTGCATGATATTACGGAGTGAAAGAGGGCTGCACGACCACCCATGATTTTCGTGGACGAGAGCGAACATCGTTTACGAATGTCTGCATAGAATGAAAGGCATAGAGAAACAGAAAGATGGAGAATACGCGGGTGCGAGGATAAATGAGTGTGAAAGAGGCGCGCACGAGGTAGTTCAGAGTTCAGAATATTTGAAAGAGACACTTAGGGTATTTATCTATCTAAAAAATTTGTTAAGGCAATTACTATCGAGAGTACTCTCAAATAGTGTGTCAGCTCTTCACCAGCACTCTCAATACTAAATACACCGATAAGTTTCACTCTCGAGAGTAACATATGACAGGTTCACTCTCAAATTGACAGAAGCCCTTTCAGTACAGAGATATTACAATCTTTCTTCCAGAATTTCAATTGTCATCCAAAAATATTTGTTACTAATTTTCACTTTGTATGAGAAACCTGAATTTTTTTAAGGCAATTACTTTCGAGAGTACTCTCAGCTAATAAATTTGACTCTCGAGAGTAACTTATTACAATTTTACTTTCAAATGGACAGAAACCCTTTCAGTATAGAGATATCACAATCTTTGAATTTCAATTGGTATTCAAAAATATTTGTCACTAATTTGCATTTTTTGTGAGAAAGCTGAATTTTTTTAAGGCAATTACTTTCGAGAGTACTCTCAAATAGTGTGTCAGCTCTTCACCAGCACTCTCAATACTAAATACACCGATAAGTTTCACTCTCGAGAGTAACATATGACAGGTTCACTCTCAAATTGACAGAAGCCCTTTCAGTACAGAGATATTACAATCTTCCTTCCAGAATTTCAATTCTCATCCAAATAAATTTGTTACTAACTTCCATTTTGTGTGAGAAATCTGTTTTTGCAACTTAAGATTCTCATAAGAGTGTACACCCAGAAAATTACAAAATTTACCTGGACTCTTGCAAGATGGCCAGCAGGTCGAGGCTCTTCTCCCTTTTCACTGGTTGTTTCGCGGAGGGTTCAGGGCTGGTTGGGTAAAATTGAGCGCTCTGAGGGCTCCTAGGGACGTAGTAAGGGCTCGTTGGATACTCTGGCGAGCCTTCGTACGAATAATTAGGGGACAGTTCACCACCAGCACCTGGATAAGGTGGGCTGGAGTAAGTGGTTGGCGAACTGGGACGTGGCGATTGTGCTTCCTGTTTGATCTGCGCTGGTTTCATCGTGTTCTGAGAGTTTGTTGCGCCATAATCGTCCGAAAGAAGGGACAAATCGAATTGGAATGTACTGTAGTCGAACGATGGCGAATAGCCGGCTGCGGTAGGCACTGTTTGTGGCATCTGAAGCAGAAATTTTAAAATCGGTTAGACTGGTTTATCAGATAATTTATCATAATTAAGCTTCTTCATTTTTTTCATGCTAAAATTCTTCAAGCTATTGCACCGATGGAAGAATTATTTTCGACACTGACAGGAAGACTATTCATTTTGAATATTATTAGGTTGTAACATACGAAGTGTCCGATTTTGAACCACAGTTTTAAATCAGCATCATTTTTTTTACATTAAATTTTATTAACCAAAATAGGGAGCATTAGCATGAGTGACAAATTTTTTAATTTCATTTCCATAAAATGTCGACGTTTTGGTATCAATAAATTCTTTAAAGGTACTTTCTATATTTGCTTGATTCGTACAGGTTCTTTCGCTGAGAAAGCGATTTAGACGATCAGAAAAATGATAATCCGTAGACGACAAATCTGGCGAAAGTTTCGTATTTTAAATAATTAAGTTTTTACACTGTCACTTGCGAAACATGCGGGCTGTGCATTGTCGTACAGCAGGATGGGCCCCTTTCGATTAACCAGTGCCGGTTGTTTAATTCGTAATTTCTAGTGCATTACCTCAAATTTAGTACAATACTCCACCATGAGAGTTACACCTGGTTTTAGGAAGTTTGAACCGCTTTTCCACTCGTGCAGAATTCATGATTCACAGGAACTTAAAAAGCAGGCATTCAAGTAGAAAAATGTTAAAAAATTCAAAATGTGAAAAAGAGGAGATTCTAAGCTTTAAAATAATGTACAATACATCTACAAAGATATTTATCGGAGGAAAAGGTTTAGAAAGTTGGAATAACAAAATCGGACATTTCATATGTTACAACCCAATACTATTTCAAAGAAGTCTGGTATCGTCAGCTAAGAACCGATAAGAAATGATAATTCAGCTAAGAAACTAGATAAGTCTAGTTTGTATTGTAGAGGAAGCGTTGTAGATTTATTATACTAATATTCGTAACAATTTAATTATCATCTCTACAAGATGAGTTTCACGCGATAAGAGTTTACAGATGTTTCAGTGATTATAAAAGCAGCCTAAGTTGTACGTATCATGTACACTACCGGCGAAACGTTTGGAATCACTGTGCACTGCAAGTTACAGAAAAATTTCCAGGAAAAATGTTAGCAATTTGAAGAATATTTTAACCAATTTTCTATCGTTCAAATCAATCGAAATAAGGTAAAATGCTATCTATCTCCACAACGTCAATTTCAAATCTATGAAGTATTTGAGCCGTTCATTTTGAAAGTGACCTAAGTCCATTTATACTTAAATTCAGATATTTAAGAGTTTGCGTTTCAATAAAATTAAAAATATACGTATAGGTTACCAATGTGTCATACTGCTTAAGTCTATCTAAAAGAGTTAAATTTACAATTCCTATTAAAATAATAACAATTATTAAGTGAATAATATGTGTTTCCTTACCAAAAATCGAGTTAAGCCACTTTCAAAGTTAACAACCAGATTCGTTATAAAATTTGAAACAGCCCAAGTCCATTCGACATAATTTAAAATGCTTCAAATTGAAAAAACAATACTCAATTTATTTTATATTTCTTTACAACATTTCAAAAACACAATTTATGCAATTCAGGAACCTTTTTCGTTCTTTCGACGTTTTCGTTTCACAGCATAGCGCTCGGTAGCTTCGTATAGCAGTACATTTTGTTTATTAAAATCTCCCAAGTACCAAAACTTCTCAAAAGTGTTCTTTCTTTCTTCTTCTTCGTAATTTTTTATGCAAGCTCCTCGACAACGGTAATCTTTGTTCTGAAAAACTTTTGCAGGTATAATGTTTCCAGTTTGAGTGTAATATCTTTTCCCTGTATTCCGTTTAATTTTTCCCACTTTTTGGATGTATGTTTCACCATTCTTTCCTCCGCTCTCATCTGTATCTTCATCCTCTGACGACGAATGTTGTTCTATAATTCTCTTTCTTTGTCGATTTTTGTTGAAATCATTAGTTACCAATTCGTGTTCACTATCTGAATTAAATGGTCTTGTTGTTTTATTCTTCCCCACGGGTGCAATAATTTCTATAATTTAATACTTCAAGTTTTATATTCAATTGTAAGTGTGCATTGCGTGAATTTTTTTTCACTGCATTAATTAAACGTACTGATTATTCAACTAAAGCAACTGTCCAAAAACTGACGTTAACTTGTTAAATACTAATTAATTAAAATTACCTTCATCACTGCCTTCGGACATTTGAAAATCCGCACTTTCGGACAGTATCAATAATGGATTGGACTTGGGCCACTGTTCAAAGTAGTGGTTTTAATTATTGAACTAACTGCGAAAATTGATGTGCCCAAAATTATCGTGTATACTCTGAATATACTTAACCGCAAATGTTGTTTATGACAGCTCCAAAAACTGACGTTAACTTGTTAAATACTAATTAATTAAAATTACCTTCATCACTGCCTTCGAACATTTGAAAATCCGCAATTTCGGACATTATCAATAATGGATTGGACTTGGGCCACTGTTCAAAGTAGTGGTTTTAATTATTGAACTAGCTGCGAAAATTGATGTGCCCAAAATTATCGTGTACACTCTGAATATACTTAACCGCAAATGTTGTTTATGACAGTTGACTTCAAGTTGTACACGTTACTACGGTGAACAAAAAATAATTGACAAATGGACTTAGGCCACTTTCAAAATAAACGGCTCATTTATTAACACTAAAACTACCGACCGGGTCGAAATGACCCATTAGCGACTTTCCGAAAGTGAATTTTTACATAAGTAAACCGTGATTGGAAAATTCGATTCATACCGATACATGTAGAATATAAATTCGGAAAGTTACAAGCGATAATACTTACCAGTACAGAACATTCACGTTTTTCCAAAAGATGCTAATGGGTCAATTTTGACCCGGTCGGCAGTCTTAGCGTTGATATTTAACGTAAATTAGCAGGTGATTCGAAACTTTGGCCGGTATTGTATTTTTCGTTTGAAGATATTTAAACTTTCTCCTTTGAATGCGCCAAAAAAAGGAATTTCGTATTACAACCGCAAAATTCTTACTCTTGCAATGCAAATTTTCTCTACGATAAGACCGATGCAACACAAAATTTAAAAAAATTTTTGATTTATCGTTAAACCACTTTCATAATCGTCCTCATAATTACAGTGGAGTCCCGGTTATCCGAGTCCCGTTTAACCCAGATTCCGTATAAATAAAATGAAAAAATGACTAATTTTTAGGGTCGATGGGTGTTCATAAATCGTGCAATAAAATCATAAAAGACATCTTCATATTAACTGTTTAATAAATAGTTAATTAAACCTAAATACACGTACAATTTTACGTTATCAAAATGTTTCTTATGATTTTCTTGCGATCCTACCCTATTATCCGAGTGTTCGATTATTCGAGGTAGCCTCGATCCACACCACATCGGATAATCGAAACTCTACTGTATTCCGATCGATGCATTAATACAATATTTCTTCCAACAACGACTCCTAGTATACTTTCCGAAACGGAACCTAAATACGTATCATCTTCTACCAAACCCTCTGCACAGTGTATTATATCACAATTATCACGCTCGCAAATTACAACGACGAATATTTCAAGCTGTAATACCATACAATGGGATACAGCTTATATTTATCGAACGGCTCAACATCATTTACGATCTGACAAGGCTAAAACCGAGTTGCACACAGGCCCTAAGCGAAGAGGTTTGCAACGCTGGAACATTCCTACTTTCCATTCCCGACGATCCACGATTTATTTCGGCGTGTACAAGCGAAAAGATCTAGTCGAAATGATACACTTTCTTCAAGACAGTGGAACGACGGACCAAGGGTCCATTTATCTTTCCGCGTGTTTATTGCCCGTCCCGAGCTTAAACTCGCGTCAGTTTGTTACGCTCCGTAAGTCACTTATGGCTCAGGGCGACCGCCATCCTCATCTCGGAGAGTGGCAAACCGGCCGAGGTTGCGATATCGTTTTGTCAACTGTCTAATTCCAACGTTAACATCATGATCATTTCGATATGAACGTGTAATTGCGATCATTAGCACGTCTTTAGTCTTTCTTGCGAATTTTTACAATTATCCACTGACAAAAGAATTCTTGCGATTTTTTCTCACGTTGAACGTGTTAGATTTATCAGTCAGTTAGATATAACAAAAATTAATCTAACGCCTTACTAGGAAGTATACATTTCTTTTGTGTACGTTCGGAGAAATCCGTTTAGCTTTACCATCTCTGTTCAGTAAAGAACTAAATGTTTATGATACGTGGCAAAAGGCCCTTCGGTCCCAAGCGGGGTCGTAGGCGATATTAGGGCGTTGCGTAGGAGCATTCTCGGTCCGTAGACAGTGCTCTTGCCATCAAGTAGAAAAGCGAACCTTCCTTGTGTTTAATAAAAGTTTATAGTTTAAAATAAGGATTATTAATTATTTAACAGCCAATAACTCCCATAGTCCAACAGAACGGACGGTGAGGCTGCTCGAATTTTTTTTGGGATAGCTGACATTTTGAAGAACGATCGAAGAATGGGAGTAAATGGGGTGTACAGGGTGGGCTGCTTAGTTATCTTCTTTAAACAGCTGTGGATAGGTACGAGAAAATTTTCGTACTGTTACACCCTCGAATATTTTCATTCTTAGTCCTTAGTTCTATCTGTATTCACAACTACTTACATTCTAAGGACTTGTTGAAGATTCCTTTTGAGGGTGGCTAGTGATACATTAAGAAGGTCTACTTCGTACATAAGGGAATTGTACAAAGTAGAAATGCGGTTTACTGGGTCAGATATACTGTACTTCGATTTGTGCGTTGGAATGCGAAAAGTCGCTCTACTTCTTAAATGTCTAGATGGTGAAATGTAGTGTTAGGGCTTGCGGTTGATCTTTCGATCGTTCAAGCGTTGCCGAGTTTTGCACGTGTGTACCGACTAATGTTCTAAGGCTACGAAGGACCAGTTTCTTGATTGAAACACTAAGTTTTTACTTTATGTTCT